GTCCTCCCTCCGCCCTTCTCCCTTCCCGCTCCTCCCTCGCTATTGAACTCCTCCTCCATCCTCCATTCCCTCCCTCGTCATCGATCTCCTCCTCCGTTCGTCGTTGTCCTCCCCCTCCCTCATGCATCATCGGCGTCGTCCTCTCTCCGCCCTTCTCCCTTCCCCCTCCTCCCTCCTCCATTCCCTCTCTCGTCATCGATCTCCTCCTCCCTCCATCGCTGTCGTCCCCCTCCCTCCATCATGTCGTCCTTTTTTTCTTTTTTTTTTCATATATGAAATTTGTAATGGTGCACCACTGCTCCCCCTCCCTCCATCATCGGCGTCGCCCTCCCTCCACACTTCTCCCTTCCCCCCTCCTCCCTCGGGATATCGATCTCCTCCTCCCTCGTCATCGATCTCCTCCTCCCTCCGTCGTTGTCCTCCCTTCCCTCCATCACCGGCGCCGTACTCCCTCTGCCCTTCTCCCTTCCCGCTCCTCCCTCGCTATAGAACTCCTCCATCCTCCATTCCCTCCTCGTCATCGATCGCCTCCTCCCTCCGTCGTTGTCCTCCCTCCCTCATGCATCATCGACGTCGTCCTCCCGCCGCCCTTCTCCCTTCCCCCTCCTCCCTCGTTATCGATCTCCTCCTCCCTCCTCCATTCCCTTTCTTGTCATCGATCCATCGCTGTCGTCCCCCTCCCTCCTTCATCATGTCGTCCTTTTTTTCTTTTTTTTTCTTCATATATGAAATTTTTAATAGCGCACCACTGCTCCCCCTCCCTCCTTCATCATTGGTGTCCCCCTCCCTCCACACTTCTCCCTTCCCCCCTCCTCCCTCGCTATCGATCTCCTCTTCCCTCGTCATCAATCTCCTCCTCCCTTCGTCGTTGTCCTCCGCTTCCCTCCATCATCGGTGTCGTCCTCCCTCCGCCCTTCTCCCTTCCCCCTCCTCCGTCGCTATTGATCTCCTCCTCGCTCCTCCATTCCCTCCCTCGTCACCCATCTCCTCCTCCCTCCGTCGTTGTCCTCCCCTTCCCTGCATGCCCGAGTGCACCATGCGTGCAAATGCGCGCGGCACGCACACGCCCCGGCGCACTGGCGCACTGCGCATCCAAGTGCCGCGCAGCGCATCGCGCATTGCGCACTGCACATCAATGTGCGCATCCCCGACGGGCGCATGGCGCACTGCGCACCGCACCACATCGCGCAGCGCATAGATGCGCCGCAAGTATGGTCTGAACTAAAGAGTGCAAAGCAGGTAAGTGCCTGCTAACACCCTCCCCCAACCCCCCCC